ACTACTTCTACTACTACTACTACTACTACTACTACTATTACTACTACTACTACTACTACTACTACTACTACTACTACTACTAGTACTACTACTACTACTACTACTACTACTACTACTACTACTACGACGACTGCTGCTACTACTACGACTACTACTACTATTACGGCTACTGCTACTACTAACTACTACTACTACTACTACTATCCCCCCCCACGCACAACCACGCACCACCACCACCACCACCAACCACCACCACCACCACGACTACTACTACTATACTACTACTATCTGACTACTACTTACGAACGACTACTAGCTACTACTACTACTACTACTACTACTCCGACTACTACTACTGCTACTCCGGCGATTTCTTGTTCTTCTTTCTACTACTAACTACTACTACTACTACTACTACTACTATTACTAACTATACTACTACTACTGCTACTACTATACTACTAACTACCACCCACGACTACTACGACGGAAAATTAAGTTCTAATAGCTAACGGCTACGTCTGCGACTAGCCACTACTACTACTGTTACTACTACTACTACTACTACTACTACTACTACTACTACTACTACTACTACTACTACTACTACTACTACTACGACTACTACTACTACTACTACTACTACTACTACTACTACTACTACTACTACTACTACTACTACTACTACTACTACTACTACTACTACTACTACTACTACTACTACTACTACTACTACTACTACTACTACTACTACTACTACTACTACTACTACTACTACTACCACTACTGCCGCGACTACGACTGCGACTGCGATTACGACTACATCTGCGATTACGACTGCGACCATACGACTGCGGCCGTGACTGCTCGTACAAGGACTTGTCCTCATCCTCCCTGTATCTCACCCGCCTCCGCCGCTTTCCCCTCTCCCCGACCCACCTCCCCCGCTTCCCCGTCCTTTCCCCGACACGCGACATCCCCCCCCCCTCTCACACGGAGCGGCAACACATAGACACGGCCTTCCCTCCTCCGCTCCAGGCGCGCGCGCCCGCTCACGCTCTCCCAGGCCCCCCCCCCCGCGCCCCACTCCGCCGCCCACCCTTTCCCGCCAGCTCGTTCGCACGCTTCAGAAGCTCGGCCGCCACCTCCCAAGGCCGCGCGGAGAGAGAAGTCACGAATGAAGGGGCGGGGAGGGGGGGGGGAAGGACAAGCCACGTGCGCTCGCTGACATTCCCCCCCCTCCTACCCATCCCTCTTCGTCGTGTTCGTTTTGCTACAGCCGCCGACGGGTGTCATAGCTGACCTGGGACTCCCAACGTGACCCCATCGTGAATGCCCAAACGAAACATATACACAGTTGAAAAGGGGCGGGCGCAGGAGCAAGATAGTATGCAGGAGAAGGACTGACGAGGATGAGGAAGGAGAAGGACGAGGAGGAACAGCAGCAGCAGCAGGAGCACGAGGAGCGGGAGGAGCAGGAGAACGAGGGAGCAAGGCGACAACGATGAGGAAGGACTTGGATCTAAAATTGTGGCCCACGCTGGGGCGAGAGCGCCGTTCTGAACGACGGGGCTGGGCGCTTAGTCGAAAATGCTGCCAACGCTGACGCGGGAGCACCATCTTGACAACACCGAGCACGCCTCCACTGGCAAAACGTATGGCACACGTCGAAGCTCCTTATGGGGCCCCGGGTGCGGGGCCGCCTGGCGGACCCTGCCGCTGGGGCCTTTGGTGGAGATCCCCCTGGGGGCGCGAAGGATCCGATGGGTGCGCCGAAATCGGATGCAGGGGCACCATGCGGACCCTGCCGCTGGGGCCTTCGGTGGACCTCCCGATGGGGCCACGGAACGTGTGAGGGGTGTGCCGACCTGGGGGCGGGGCCGCATGACGGACCCAGCCGCTGGGGCCTTCGGTGGACCTCCCTATGGGGCCGCGGAGCGTCTAGGTGGTGTTGGCCTTGCCGCTAAGGGCCTTCGGTGGAGCTCCCTTGGGGCCACGAAGCGCGTGAGCGGTGTGCCGAAATGGGCGCAGGAACGCCGTGCGGACCCTGCCACTAGGGTCTTCGGTGGACCTCTTCATGGGGCCACGGAACGTGCCAAGGGTGCGCTGAATCTAATGCAGGGCCGCTATGCGGACCCTGCCGCTGAGGCCTTCGGTGGAACTCCTCGCGGAGCCACGCAACGTGTGAGGGTGTGCCGAACTCTGGCACGGGGATGGGGGGACGGGGAAGAGAAGAGGAGAGGAGGGGAAGGAGAGGAGGAGAACGCGGGGCGCTGTCTCTTCAAAACGAAGACCCAACACAACATAATGGTTGGGAACAAATTGACAACCGCGGGACAACTCACAGGACAATTCGCAAGAAAACCAGTGGAAAACCCATGGGACAACTCACGATCACGGGACAATTAACAAGACAACCACGGGCCAACCCACGGAACAGCACACCAGACGACCACAAAACAATGCATGAGACAACCCAGGGAACAACCATTAGACAACCCACGGGACCATCCACGGGACAACCCTCTAATAAGGCAGCCCCGCGAGACAACACGCGGGACAATCACTAGACAACGACCCGCGGGACAACCCAAGGACAACCCACGAGAGAAGCCAAAGGACACTCCTCAAGACAATCCACGGGACAACCACGGGACAACAAAGGGACAACCCACGACCCGTGGGACAACTACAGGATGACTCCGGCATGACTCCGCCGACCCTCATGACGCAAGCGCGCAAACGATCTGTCCGAATCCCACCAGCCATCTGGGCGTAGGTGGTTTAGGGAGGTTCGGTCAGGGCGTCCAGAACGGCCTCGGCGAGGAAACCAAAATCATTGGTGTTACCATGGTTTTGGCCGCATGTGGGCCTCTTAAGGGGGGGGGCTAATTGGAGCTCCCCTCTTGTTTGACAGATGGCGTCCAGGATGGCCCAAAGAACGCCCCTAAAACTCCCACGAGCGCCCCAAAAGGGCCCTAAGAGGCGCCCAGACGGCCCCAAGAGACCTCCAAGAAGCTCCCAAGAGACCCTCAAGAGGCCCCCAAAAAGCTTCACGAGGATCCCCGATGCACCCAAGATGCCCCCCAAACGCTCCGAGAGGCCCCCCCAAAGCACCCAAGACGCCCAAGAGCTCCCCAGAACCGCCAAGAGACCCCCAAGACATACCAAGAAGCCACCAAGAAGCTACCAAGCGATATCCCAAAAGGCTCCGAAGGGCATCCAAGAAACCTCTGGCCCTGTTGTTCGCCCTCCTCCTCCTGCTCCTCATTCCTCCAACATCGTCTCTTCGTCCTCCTGCTCCTCATCATCATCATCACCAACATCAGGTCCACCATCATCATCACCATCATCCTCATCAGCATCATCATCGCCAGCAGCATCATCATCAACACCAGCTGCATGTTCCTTTTTCTTCCCCCCACTCCCTCATCCATGCATCCATCCAGCCTTCTTCTCCTCCTCCCTCCTTCGCACGGTTCGGCCGTCCACCTCTTTGCTTCCGTACTCCCCTGATCACCTAAACTCGCCTGGACAGCCTTTTCTGGATGAGCTGGTGGGAATATGTTTTGTGGCCTGCGGACTCGCGAAGCAGGCCGAAAGCCGTCCGAACACTCGCCGGGCCGCGACGAGCCAGCAAGAGCAGAGAGGCAAGCGAAACGAGCGCGCGGGCAGCCACTCATAAGAAGAGCCAGAAACGAAATTCCCAACCAGGTGGCGTGGAGATCCCGGTGGCGACCAACGAATAAGCGCAGCCAAAATGGCGCGGCGGCGCGACCATAAACACGCAGAGAACAATCACTCGGTGTGAATCGGCACAAGGCACCGTCAGAGACGAGCAGGACCGACAGGCACACCCGGACGACGTCCGTGACGTAAGCGACACAACTGCATCGTGTCAGCGCAAGAGTGAAGAGGGGCAACCTTGTCACAGATAGGACTGCAAACGGCAGTACCTCTTGGTTATACAGCAGCGGCACATGTCGAAAGCGAAGTCCTTGCAGGAGAAAGCAGCCGACGGGCGCACCGAGCCACACATGCCGAAGTCCTAGCACCGTGGAGGTCGGCAGCGTGCGGGACCCCACTGGACCCTTTCGGTCACCAGTGGAGGCCGACACCAGCCAGGAGCAGGCCAGGGGCAACCTGACCGCCCATTCCCAGTGTGATCCATGCATGGAATTCGAAGCGAGACCCCAACTGAACCCTTCGGTCACCAGTGGAGGCCGAGCTGGTGAGAATACGCGAAGCGTCTAATATTGGCCCTGAACTCAGCAAGCACATCGTCGGCCGAAGCTAACCCCGTGCAACTTCACCTCAACTGTACGAAGGACACACAGCGAACCGACATCGATTTTCCAGTCGGGTTCACTTCGCTCCAAAGACGCGACCTCCGAGCAATGAGTGGATACGGCATGCAGTGCGAGTTGCATATGCTCCGCAAAGGACTGGTATCATGGAACTGTGCAGCGCCAGCCTGCACAATGCAGCATACCAGCCAGCTGTTCACCAAAAAACTTGCCAACTTGCATTCCGAAACAAAAAAAGCTTCTGCAATTAATCATGGCGCTGGCGGTGGCGCTCCTGGATATGACCCCGATGATGGGCATGCGAATCGCAGCTGACCGAGAAGGCGTGCCACAAGAACAGACTCACATTCAGAGAAGACGAACTCAAAAGCCCACAACTGCCGCCGGCTTTCTTGAGCAACAAACTGCAGCAAACGCCAGTTACTGTTTTACTAAGTGCATGCAGCAAGCGGATAGCAACATACTGGTGACGCGCAGTGTGCCGAGGAATGTCTGAGAGGCTACATACGCAGTAAGTGTGTATGCGTATCTCGTTATGCACATACCCGCCGCAAATCACTGGCAAGACCGCATACATCGAATCGCTCACTCTGATTGGAACTCTCACATGTGCTTTCTGTTGCTCATCCTTCCGATCGTGTAGGTGACCCTGCCCGCTCCCACAATCACGACGGAAGTAGTGCCGTCTCCAACCTCGACTCGGCACGTATACATCATAACATGACAAAGAATGCCAATGGTTAAAAAGAGAGGAACAGGATGGACTGTGCAGAGGAACATGTGCGACGACTTGGCTGTGACCAGCCTATTTCGAAACGAAGTGCGTGCAACTGTCTACAAGGGAAGGTGCCGATGTTGACGACAGCAGGCAGTGGAAGCAACAGCCAGAGGATCAGCAGAACGAGGGACCGTGTGCTGAATTGGCCTCGACATCAGAAGAGCCATGCAAACGATAGCATCAACAACAAACACTCCACCACAATCACGCTCCGTCACACCATCGCACTCGCAGACAACGCAGAGCGGCCCTCACCGGATGGCAACCACGGCGGCGCGCACGCGCGACACGGCACCATCGGAGCAGCAAACGCAGGACAACCCGCACGGCCCCACTGGCCGATCCGCGAAACCCCGAGGCCAAACGTGCTGACGCCTCGCTTCTGCCTCCGCCGCCTTCCGCCGACCCTCCGCTGGCCCTCTCGCCCGAGCCGCCGCCATGGTACTGCCGCTGGCCTCCGCCGGCCTTCCGCCAGCCGCCTCACTTAGAAGAACAAACGCCCATAGACATAAACTTTTGGCGCTCCGTGCGGATCTCGTGGATCTGCGCTGCGCCCCCCTCCCTGGCGCGCGGAGCGCGCCAGGGGCGGCGCCGGAGGCGCCGCCGGGGTGCCCCGGCGCAGATCCAAGAAATGCGCGCGGAGCGCCATAAGTTTATGTCTATGGCGCTTTTAAGAGGGCAGAGAATCCACCCCCATCATGACCACCCCGACAAGCGAAGCCGTTTAGCAAACACGCCCAAGGAAGGAATCCAACAGCAGGGCTTTAAGTAAACGCCCAAGGCCTCACCACCCACCAAACCACCCCAACCCAACCCGAAGGCCCAAATTTACCCTCGATTTCCAGTGGGGGGGGGTCGGGAAACATCGAAAAAACACATGTGGAACCCCTACCCCCCCCCCGACCCGAAAATCAGGTCGTCGGGTTGGCTTGTGGTGGTCTGGTAGGTTGTCAGCCGTTTAGTAAACGCCACTTCTCTGGTCTGGGTGTGTTTTCCTTCCTTGATTTGTCTTCTTCAATTAGAGGACTCCTACATGGGGTCGGAATAGATGGGGTCGGAGGATCGCGCCGCATCGCCGATGCATCGACAATGCATCAGCGATGCATCGGCGATTCACCAGCGATGCATCGTCGACGTCGGCGATGCATCGGCGACATCGGCGTGGAGAAGATCGGGCTCCGCATCGAGCCGCATCGGCGATGCATCGGCGATGCGGCGCGGTCCTCCGACCCCCTCTGCCCCCACCCCATCCAGGAGGCCTGGATCAATCGCTTCTGCCTCCCCCGCCCTCCGCCGAGCCTTCCCGCCGACCCTCCCGTCTTTGGACGCCCGAAATGGGTACGGAAAGAATGGGTACAATGCCCAACAACAAATGTTGTCCCAAACCAACAGCGGCCGCTGTTGGGCAGGCGGCCCTCTGTCTCGAATGGACACAGGCCGCGGCGGCGTGGACAGCGAATCCTGTTCAAAATTAACAGGAACTGCTGTTGGGCATTGTACCCATTCTTTCCGTACCCATTTCGGGCGTCCAAACCGTCGGCCTTTTCCGCCGCCACGCTGCTGTCCCGATGGCCTCTTGAGGCCAGCCCTCCGCCGGCCAGCTCCCGCCGACGGCAGGCGCGCCGCCGAGGGCGGGGGCCCTCCAGCTTGAAGGGGCCATGGGACACACAAATAAACACACACACAAAAAAAAATGGTTCCCCATATTTTCCCATCTGTTCCGGGCTTTGTCTTACCGCCCAATTCCCATATTTTCGCCCATTTTCCTGGGACTCGACGATTACTTGTGTCTGTATGTTTTTGTTCCCCTCCTGAGTGCTCGGGGGTGGGCGGAGCGGCGCGCCCCCTCGGCACAGCAGCACCACGCCGGGCGCAGCACGGCAGTCTCGGCGTGGCCCAGGGGGGCAAAACATCCCCCCCCGCCCCCACAGTGACCACCCCGAGAAGCGAGGGACGCTCAGCAAACGCACCCAAAAAAGAAGGAATCGAAGAGGGCAGGGCCGTTGCTGTTGAGTAAACGCCCGAAGCCGTTTAGTGAGCGCCAATGATCGGGTCCGGGCGTTCTCCGCCTTCCTTGACGGCACGCCGTGAGGCGGCCGCCCGTTGGCACCGCGCCCCTGGCGCCGCACGCACGCCACAGCGCGTTACGCACGCCGCGATCTGCGTGAGGCAGCGCGCGCGCTGCGCGCGCCACGGTGATCCTGCACGGCAGTCAGTTACGGTGGATACTTCGGGCGCGTGTACAAAGAGGTCCTCGCCTCGTCTCGCTCCAGTGTGGAGAAGGCCTTCGCAGAAGGCGTCGCGACTTCCCAAGAAGCGCTGGCGCCTTCTGAGCAAAGTGTGCTGCGTCTTCGGGGAAGGCTTAGACAACTTCTCGGACGGCTGGGGAACGACCGAGCCTTCCGAGAAGGCCCGCCCCCCCTCGCCCCGCCCAGCTCGCCGCCGACACACCGCACCCTGGATCAACCGAGGCCACGCTGACGGCGATGTTGCTCAACGGTGATGTTGGGAACCAACTGCTAGGGCATCGCGAACCACACTCTCTCCTACATGCCCCATATGCGAACGTGCCGAACGAAGACGGCACAGCGAATTGTAGGAAAACGTAAGCCAACGCGCTCCCACAGCACCGAAACCTACATCGCCGTAACCGAAATCGCTTTGATGGTGGGGCCCTGGGACTCACATAAAAGTAGGCACACACAACACGATGTCCCATATCTTCCCCTACGGATGTTCTGGCTTTCTGCCTTCCCCCCCGCTTCCCGTGCTGCCCCACATGTTCTGGGCAATGCACGATCCATGTTGTCTGTGTGCCTCGTGCTCCCTCCTTACGGGCCCAAAACATATACACCACCACCACCTCCCTCCCTCCCTCCCTCTCCCAGGAAAGAGGAGATGAAGAGAAGGGTAGGAGGAGGGAGGAGGAATCGACGTGGTGGTGGTGGTGCATATTGAAGGGAACCTGGGACACACAAATAAATACACACAAATAAAATGATTCCCCATAGTTTCCCATATTTTCTCGGTGTTTGTCTTCCCCCCCACTTCCCATAGTTTCCTATATTTCCCTGGGCATCGACGATTCATTGTGTCTGTGTGTTTTTTCCTCTCCTGACATACGCGTGGGACCCGCACTCCTGCTGCCGGCGCGCCTCCGCACCCAGCCACGGCACAGCACCGCGGCCGCACGGCACAGCACCCCCCCGCCGCCCCACGAGACGGGCGCCCCCGCTGCCCCGCGAGCGCACCCGCTGCCGGCACCGCGCCGCCCCGCCGCGCCGCCGCACCCCGCACGGCGCGGCCCTCCGTGGCCCTCCGTGGCCCGCCCCGGGGGCACGGCGCAGCCGCCGCGGCACGGCGCAGGGCACCGCAGCGCCTCGCAGGGAGCTCGCAGCGCCGCCGCGCCGCGCGCCGCGGGGGGCCCGGCGCGTGGCCTCTCGAAAACAGGGCTGGGATCGGGATGAATCGCTCCAGAGCGTTCCGGAGCGCTCTCAGAGCGTTCCGGAACGCTCTGGAGCGGCCGCGGCGCCCGATACATCCTCCAAACCCGCCGATTCTCATAGATTTCGAGGTATCCCGATCCGATTTTGTCCCGATCTTCGCGTCGTTTTAGCACGGCACCGCGCCGCGGCGCGGCACCGCGCGCGCAGCGAGGCCGAGGCACGGACGGCCCGCGTCTGACTCGACCGGGCACGGCACCAGGCCTGGGCCGCCGAAGCAGGCCCCGTCTGCTCCTGACCCCCCGCCCAGGCAGCCGAATCATGGACGGTTGGAGGGCTCCACCGCTGCACGACACGGGTCGGCAGCACGACACGGCAGGGCACGGCACCACACGACGACACTGAACGGCACACGCAGGCGAACGAGTCAAGGGGTTCCGCGGTACGGATTGATGTTGCAGTGTTGCGTTGGGTTCTTTCGGGGTTGTCGCCTTTCTCCGCGATCCACCCGCGACCCACCCCGCGACCACCACTCGACCCACCCCACGACCCACCCGCGATCCACCTGCTTTGACGAAAAATTGGCGCCTGCGGCGGCTGGTTGTGTGCCTGCGGCAGGTTTTTGTCAAGAGCTTCGTAGACTGTCGACGACCCCGCCGCCGTCTCACTCTTATCCCCAGTATGCGGGGCAATCTTACTAGATCGGTTTAGGATTCCCAGTCTTCAAAGATGTCGATTGTCCATGGCCCATGCTCCCTGGCAAGATGCCCCCGTCACCTCCTGACCAGGTGTTCTTCTCTCCGCTGTTCTAAAGCAGCGGTTCACATGTCAACGGTCCCGGTCACTCGTGTGCAGCCTCTGGTGTTGTGGATGCCACGACAATGGATGCTCAACAAGCCGATCATTGAATTAAAGATGTGTTTAACATGTGTAATCCTGCTCTAAACATGTTTCACACATGCTTTTAACCAAGCTCAAGAACACGTAGCACACCGTTGATTAGACATCTGGAAACTACTTGGCAGCATGCTTCCTTCCTCTCCACTCGTCGCCTTCCACAACCCCGGTGGCCCTCCCATAGAGGCCTCCTAGATGGGGTCGGAGTAGATGGGGTCGGTGGATCGCACCGTATCGCCGATATATCGGCGATGCATCGGCAATGCATCGGCGATGCATCGGCGATGCACCAGCGATGCATCGTCGACGTCGTCGCTTCATCGGCGACGCCGGCGCAAAGAACATCGGGCCCCGCATCGAGCCGCATCGCCGATGCATCGGCGATGCGACGCGATCCTCCGACCCCATCTACTCGGACCCCATCTAGGAGGCCTCTACCAAGAGATACCAAGCGATGCCAAACTACGGCCTGTACTGGTCAGGCCGCTTGACGAGGGGGCGCGTGGTATGACTTGGTTTTGCCTGGAAGCGAAAGCGGGGTAGGTAATTCACGCTCTGACTCCCATCGCTGCCGG